TTAACTTTATCTGTGTCACTTACATGGAGTTTATATTTAAAGACAACATTTGCTGGTTCTACGGGTATACTTTCTGCTAGTTTGTCTAGATTGTCTAGTTGTCTATATTTTTCAACAATACATTTGCACACAATACAATGTTAATACGATGTACGTAAATATAATTATGAACATATCAGAATTACGTTAATGAGAGGATAATTAAACGTACTCCTGAATATACGTATACATGTATCAGGAATGAATAAAAAGTTGTCTTTATTCAATCCTTGTAGCAGCTAGAGCACTTAAAGCAACGTTGATTTAAGTGCTCTGCTGGTATTATACATGTGTTCATGATAAAGTTCGCCACTAGATGACACTAGCGTGTTAGAACGCGGTACGTATAATGTATATATAGGCGGCCTGCAGCGGCAATCGGTGAAATCTATGAGCTGGATATGTACGCTGCTGTATATCTAGATCCCTGGGTGAAATAACAGATAATTGCCCAAGTTTCAAGTTATAGGCCTATCGCAAATTTCATTAGTTATAAGGTTGTCAGTAGGCAGTCTTCATAAAACGTTAGGAAAATCACTTCAGTTTCAAATTGGATGGGTGCATGACCACAAACATATAAAAAAAACTAATATTAAAAAGTTCAAATGTTTTATTAATATAATAAGTAATTTACACAGGCAATATCAAATTTACGCAGGCTCTGAAATGCATAACTCCTTGTAGCCAAGTATAATACCCACTACATACACATGATGGACGCCACTTAAACGTCGCGCTGGCACTTCTGAATGTTGGGAAATAACCTTTTTTTCGTAAATTCGTTATGATACCACACCAAGATCATTACCATCCGAATTCCATGAACATATGGCGGTAAAAGCGGTTGGAAACGTGACTAAAGTAAAGCATTAAACATTACTGGTTGGTAAATTGGCGTTTAACTGCAAGCTACTCACTCACAACTAGTTTATGCAAGATTTGGGCATGACAATTTTGAACAGTGATGTGCGCCAGCAGATCTTAAATGTAATAAGTAAGCTACACCAAATTTTATCATCAGAGTAAGTTTTATGAAAATTGACAAGCATATCATGCAATCTCCTTGCAGAAGTAGTACAAAAAGTATATCATTATTTAAGATAATAAGAATAAAACAAACATTTACAGCAACACTTGAGATAACCATTATTCAAAACAGATATGTATATAAAGTTACTTATTACTATTTATAATTTACTAAGGACACCGATATCAACTTGAATGATGTAGTTGCCACGTCGGTTGTTGGCGTTTGCTAACGGGTACAGTGCAAGCAGGCTGTGAAGAATGGCTACTTATCAAAGCAGGTGATGAGCATCACACCACATACGGGCAATGTGTAAGCTGTTCTCACGAGGTAAGCATGAGGAATAGATCGTTCAGTATCATTATTTAATAATTAAGTAAGGGTATGTCAAGCCACGAAGCAAAAAGTATAATACTGAACCTATACAACTACTGCCTGACTAGGCTTCATTCGAGGGCAGAGTAAATTTCCCAATTGATAACTGCTAATTGCCTCACAAACAGATATTTTGGATGCATTTGCCTACTTGAGAAAAGCTCTTCTTTAGCAATAACTGCATTCTATCATTAAAAGAAAAGTTCAGAGTTGCAATAGGGAGTTCATCATGGTAAAACTACAAGCAGGAGAAGTACACAGTGCTAGTATTTATGCAAGATCAATCTTGGGGAATTAACAACTATGGCAGAAACGATACAAGCACTCACGCACAATATTTCAGAAAATAATAAATAATCAAAACGCTAGATCCATGTTCGTAGACGGAGTGACCTAAGGAAAGACGTGCTAGAAAAACTAGAGCTATGCTATTGTATGCTATGTATTGTGCAAGCTTACATACAAGCAAGCGTCACACCTTCCAACCACTGCCAAAGAGGCAGTTGCTGTAGGCCAATTATTACCTACAAAACAGTCATCCGCCAACATCCCACTGCACTTAACATTGCCTCTGAAGAGAGGAACAGCACATGCAGGTGATGAGCCCTGGTCAATTATCTGTAGCTAGAAAGCGAAATTCGAGAGGACTCAACTTTGGCAATGACAAAGCAAATGCAATACTAAGGTCTAGGTCAAACACGCAGACACGGTTAAATGCTGCAGTGCACACAAAATAAAGCATCACAGATTTATGAACACAAACCTGCAAAGACAGTGCAGAACATAACATGCTAGCTGAGTTTTCTAGGCCCATATGTACATGGAAATAACACTTGCTTGTCTCATACCCGACTTGCACACTATATAAATCATTCTATCATCGTCAACAATATATACTCAGTATTTAACACAACATTCCTCAGCCTCACGTCCTTTAAAATATTTGCCCTTTACAATATATCTGTGTGTGGCTTACAATGCCTATGGACTAGTTGCTGGTACAGGAATGCTGTGTTACGTCCAAACCCGATGTTGAGTTTGATATACGATTCAAGAACCTATCACAAAATCATGGCGAAATATGTTTGTATGGCATAAGCACTTCAGCACCACAGCCGACAACTTGTGTCGCCTCACTCTCCTGATGCAGTCATTTAACCTACAGGTTGCAGGACTACATGACTAGTCTCATCTGTCCGTGGCATAGGACAATGCTGAATAGCTGTCACGAGAAACATTAGCATGCCCACAGTTGCAATATATATGGTGTTACCTGCCGCAGTATACGTGAAAGAAATAAAAACAACAGCTGGCGAATTGCAATAACTATAGGCATTATGTCATTTCTACGCCGAGTGCTCGTCGGACGTGTTCATAAACAACGTAACTGATGCCAACAGCAGGTGCCACCTTCATAAAATTGGGAGCAATTCCTCTGTACAGTCCTGTGACGCCTTCACTTTGTAATATTGCCCTAAACATTCCTAACATTGTCATATCCTGCTTGCCTCCTGTCACTCCTGTAAAAAATATAAAGTTATTATTACACATTATTATTACAGAGTAAAGAAAATTTTTTACCTAAGCCATGAGGAAGTAAATGCGATTAATAAATCTTATTAACATATCAAAATTGTTAATAATAACATTATTAATAATACTTGGGCAAGAAAATGTGGAATTTCATAATTTCATAATTTAATCCAGAAACATGTGCTCACTAACCTCACGATATGAGATCATTAGCATGAATTAGTTTTATACACAAACAGCTTATATCAGCCAGTTTTATTGGTGGTATTCCTTTAAATTTTGTACCATCTCATCTTGCTTTAGTTGTGATCTCATATATAAATTTATATACTAGAACGCAAGTGCCTATTTCGTAAAGAACAACAATATCCTTTAGTACAATTGTTAGAATACGTTATAATATTTCATCAATTCCCACTCCAACGTCATACTCTAGATATCATGTAAACTACCTGTATCCATGGAAGAACCTACCTAGTGCCTGAAGTCGTGTTCTGACTAGAGCTAATGGGTAGCTGGCTAACTGTCCACACGTGCTGCTGGCTGTGCCACATGTCAGCAGTAGTAACACACCTGGGTCCTCAACTTTGGAGTGGTTCGTCAAATACCATCGCTTGAGTGACTATAGAACAAGTACAGAACAAGATAACCTCAACGGAGACAAGACAATTTGACACAATGTTGACACAATCATTTTTTTAAATAAATCACAAAATACACGTAATTTATGGAAAGGCAAGAGTTGCCACTGACTCGTGACACCATTATATGATAGATAAGACTTTAGTCAGGTCCCTTAGCGTCATGATCGTTACAGAGCTGACAAAAGCATCAAACTTGGCACAGTTGTAGCTTATGGCAGTACTCTTAAAGGGATAGTAGACTCTAGGATTTTGCTGCATACAACTGTACTTACTGTATAACAAATCGTCTATACCCACACGTATTTGTTACCAGATACCTAATTTAATTGTTATAATGAATTTCACATCAACGCTACGAAATTTGAACGGCGCCATGACACCCGCGACCGGGCTGTCACCCCGAAAAAGTTGCGAATTTGACAATTTATTTTCCACGTTACAGACTGAGGGCTAATGACAAAAGTGCAATTATATTTATACCTAAATGCTATTTAACCGAACGATATTCATTTTAGGGCAAATTTATCCATATTATAACTGAAACTATATGTCGTTTATAAGATATTACAATCCTTTTGCTTTTAAATTAACAAATAAGAAACACCCTCGGTCTGTAACCCTTGGCTGAAAAGTGGTTTTGCGCAACTTATCAGATCGTGCGCTTTGAGTGGCGCCACCGTCGTTGCAATCAAACTGTAGTCGTTAGTTTTAAAACATTTTTTAATAATATTTGTAATGGTGATTGAACCATGAAACTTTTTATGTAGCGTAATTTTAACCTAAATTAACTAAAAATAACCCTAGAACCTAGAGTAAACGATCCCTTTAATATTAGAGGAAGTGCCCGATCCAGATATTCCTTAGAAGTGAATTACAGATGATTAAATGTTCTAAAATCTGGTGCATTGTATACAGCTGGTAACCCCCCCCCCCCCCGCCGCACACGCTATTACGCTATAGGCGGCAGGAAAGTGTAATAACTCTCATATCTCGCGAACGAATTGAGTTACATTTCTAGAAATATAGATAGCTATAGACACATGTCTTAGCTATAATCACTGTGAATATTGAGTTTATGGACGCACGATTAGTCAATATTATTAGCAAATATATGCACGCGGAATTGAATTACAGATGATTAAATGTTCGAACCCCCCCCCCCCCACCCCACCACACACACACATAGAATGCGCCAGTACACGCAGTACAGGCGGGCGCGGTAGGGGGGGTTCCGAGTCGGGTGGTTCGACCATTTAATCATCTGTAATTCACTTCTAAGGAATATCTGCATTGGGCACCCCCTTTAATAATTATAGTACTGCCATAAGCTACAACTGTGCCAAGTTTGAGACTTTTGTCACTCCTGTAACGATTCGGCCCATATTTTGCACTAAGGCACCTGACTACTTCCAGTTAGTCTGAGAATGGGTAAGTCAAGGGCCTGCATTTAAACAAGCAAGGTTAGCTGCATTGTGTTAACCTCAAATTAAAATTTCTGAGCAAATGCAGTATTCTCCCGGATTTGTCTGCACACTTAACTTTAATGGTTGATTTCTGTAGGTGCTTACATCAGCAAATTTTGCAGCAATAAAATCAGACCTAATAAAATCATCGAAGTTATACTAAACCACAAATTCAGTGTGATAATGAAATTGTGCCTGATTAACTGACACGTGTTATATTCGAGTATGAATTCAGTGTAGCAATTAAACCAGACCTAAATAGCTGAACAGTGTTGCATTAAATCTAAGCATTTTCGGTTTGACAGCCTATAACGATGTATAAAGCTCACAAAAAGTCATGTTCAGGAACAGAAAAGAATACAGGCTCACCTCATAGACAGCTAGATCGATCCCAGCATAGGGTATAATGCCTAGCAGGTTGGGCACATATCCTCGATAAAAACAGAGAAGACCCTCGTTTCTGTATATTTTCTTGGCGGCGTCTGATATACTGGAGTATTGCCCAGTCCTCCGTAAAGCTAACCTCGTTTTCAGTACCTGCATAACATTTTAGAGTTTATGAACGGCGATATGTTTGTTTTCAGAAAATATACACATTGCTTAGCTATAACTTACAGATTCACACCAAACCAGTTGGGAAGTCAATCAGTCAGTACACAGGCAGGTAGATAAACAGGCCGGCAGCCAGGCAAGCAGGCAAGCAGACAGGCAGGCAGGCAGCCAGACAGACAGGAAGGCATGTGGGAAAGCAGGCAGGCAGGCATTTGGTTGGTCAGTTAGCAAGTCAATGCAGTTAAAAACATTGTCAAGGTATTTAAATCAGACATGCGGTACCAATATCACTCTCTAACATTTGTCCCTGAAAATCCACACTAAAATTATTATACACTTGTGCAGTGATTAGGTGTTGAAATAGAAAGGTACAAACCTCTAATGGATATATAGTTGACTGTGAAATGGCACCTGCCGCTGAACCTGCACAGAATCTCTGGCCTATGGTAACATCAGTGTGGTCATTTCTTCGTATTAACCGCTTAATCTGCAACACAACAATACCAATAGTTAACTTCAAAATAATCAGACACAATGAAACTCACCCTTTCTTCACACTGTGACGCTTCAGCACAAGCTGTAGTACTATAGAAATTGCACAAGGGAAGCCTCTAACGACTAAACATACGAATATGAATCCTTTCGTATAACATAATGCCCTAGTATTGACGATTCATAAAGATTAGAAACGTGGATTCTACGTTGTAATATTAATGATTGCATATACTTGCTCAAACACCACGAGAATTTGATTGGCTATACCTGGCCATGCAAAATGAATTTGATTGCATGTACCAACTCATCCAGCAGGAATTTGATTGCGCATACCTATTCAGATGGCTTGAATTTGACGGCGCTTACCTATTCAGATGGCATGAATTTAATTGCTCATACACCACAAAAATATACCTGCAAACATGCGCACAAACTAATTGGCCATACCCGCACACACACCACAAATTTGATTGCACGTACCTGCAAACAAGGAGCTAAATATAACAAGGAGAGGAAGCGCCGCCATATCTGGACCAAATTTGGGTTCGGCAGAGTACCTAGAATTGATTAGTGTTCTATTGTCTCTGGGTTCGGTCTGCACAGCCGTTTCAGCTAATTATGGTCCATAGATAGCGCCCTTGAGGTGAAAAGCGCACAGCCAATCCGCTTCCTCTCCTTGTTATATTTAGCTCCTTGCCTGCAAACACACACCCTTAACTTTATAGCACATACCTGCTCATATGCCATGAATTTGATTGCACTCTCCGGTGCGATTTTCAGAACGTTGATGAAGTTCCCCCGCCAGAGTGACTGTGTGCCACCCTCGTGTAGCATGTGCTTCATACCGGATAATATGCCCAGCTGGTTGGCCTTTGTCGCATGCACCTAGAACAAGCATCCGGGTTGATTCGATTGAACAAGTGCCAATCAACCACAAACCAACCACCGACGAACCACTAAGACAGCAACGAGACACACAACAAAGTTGACAACATAAAACCACCGGCACCACTGCTCGATGACTTTAACCGTTACTCCCGCCTCGAAATCTGGAAGACGCCACAACATACGTACAGGTGCCTCACATTCATGGAACCACAACACTCGCGTGAAGCCGCATCGCTGCTAATCTGCTCATTAGCAGAACAGCTTCTTCTTCGCACACCGACAGTCCTGCAACTCCCCGGGTGACGAGGCTTCGAACAGGGTGGGGTGCCAGGCTAATCCTCTACATGGTTCGGGGGTGCCCTTGTTATGTACAGTGGCCAAGCATTCACGTTACCTGCAGCATTCCTCCCTTGGTGGCCCGGATCGTCGCACTGCCAGCAACGTTGTATTGCATGTTCACCTCAAAAATAATACAGAGATACTCTGTAGCAAATAATAGTATAGCAGCCGACAAAGGTGACTAAAGGCCACAGCCCTGCCCTCATGAATGATTTAGGCTGGTGGAGGAGAAATAGAGAAGCTGACGAAGGGTGACAACAAGGGGCAAGGGAGTATTTCACATCCGATGTAAGAAAGACATAGAGAACCAACAGCTAACGAGAAGCTAGTGCATCTAGGCATGGAATGTTGGCATGTATAGGTGATGAAAGTCAAATTGTGTAGAGAGAGGGGAGCAAGAGAGGAGGGGGGGGGCAAGAGAGAGAGAGAGAGAGAGAGAGAGAGAAGGTGGAAGCAAAGACCCAATAAAATATACCACAAACTCAACTGACAACATTTTGGCCTTGCTAAAGCAAATAATACTGAAACAACTTTATTAACCAATATACTATTAAAGTAAATAAACAATTACTGTATCGTTTCATACATTCATGATTCATTGTAGGTGAATAATTTCCATTTTATCACCATATCTTTCTTACGCTTGCACGCCGCATTACTTTTAGAGAACAATTTGAAATTTAGGACGACCATCTAAAATTTAGGAGGACCATCTAAATTTCAAACTAGATAGTCCAACTTAGAGGACCATCTCTTTTTTTATCCTTATTTCTACCCGTGATGCATGGGTTAGACAGGTAATGGTAAAAGAGAAGGCAGGCGAGGACGGCCTCTTAGCACACTCGCTCAATAGACTGCAACCTGGACCAGCAAAAAAATGTGATACTTCCTATGTGGCCATGTGCAACCAAGTTTTTCTAGGCGAAAGAAAATGCAAGTTAAGTACATAATTGAACAGGCTATATTATAGAAAATATCTCAAATGGAAAATCCCTTTTGGAAGTCATTAGAGACAACTTTTGTAATACTGTTCGCAGTTTGGATTGCAAATAAATATTGCCAGCCCACCAAGGTAAGAATGCTTCAGGTAACAACACCACTGTACAATGCCCCACCTTACTACATATGCCGGGTTGCATCACGGCTCTGATGTGGTTCACGGCTACGTTGTGTGAATCAACTATGCGATTAACACGTAACAATCAGACTAGAGGATACTGCTATCTATGTCGAATGAAGGATTTCCAATGTTTTCCCAGACGTTTTCATATTTTCTTGACCTTTATGATAAATACCAGTACTCATTGTGTAACACCAAGTGTATACAGTGAGGCTATTAAACACATCTTAGAAAACTCGCACATGATTTTCACCAATATGTGCACCAGGTAAAAATGTAGATTTACATACATATATGTTAACATCAACAGCATGTGATCCCTGCATCTAGCTCACAAGATGCCATCGACCAGTACCCTGTCTCTACACTATCTTACCTTTGTCCACACACATGTCAAGATAGGGTACCAGTCTATTCAACAATTTACATCACGTAAAATGTTTTGTGGCAGAATTTTTTACTTTTGCAAATCTCAGGAATGGAGGTGCATAGACTATAACAGAACAAAGCCATGGTACTTTTTATGCTGGAGTAATAACTATTATGTCTGGTACAGGTGAGACTTAATTTAATTAATTGTTTTATTTAATTTAGAGATTAGAGATAATTTTTAGTTCCCCATAATTTTCATTGTCACTACAAACAACTGTCTTATAGTAGCACATCCGAGCTATAGTCGTTAAACATTGAACGATCAATTATTTAACTTTGTAGCCACACAATTGTCGAAACACTTACTTGCAATAAAACTTTCAGTCGATCCAGTGGCGCTGTACATGTCCGAGACACGGCGCCTGCCGAACCTCCTGCTACTAGATGTCGCCACCATACTCCCTGCTGAATTTCTGATTCTGTGAACTCCTCTGGTACTGTCAGGTCTTCACCAACGTCAACAAACTGGTAGAGACAGAAATAAATACAATTCTCAACTCAGCATGTAGAGGTATAAATAGATGGAAAGGTTATGATGAAGGCATTGTATGGCAAGCCAGGAACATGTTCTGCTAAAAACATTTGTGATAAACAGCATTAACGTCTTGTAGTCTCACAAGTTCGAAGGAAACTGTGACTGTGTCTAACATCTAGATAGCAACTTTCACAGTATTGCTAACTATGGACTTAATGAGATCAATACTGAATATATCCATAATCATAAATCCATGTCAGACTAAATACACTCATGCACTTTGATTTCCCTTTGCATTAAAGTGTGTGCAATTTCATAGCTCAGTTTACTGCTACCAGCGCTACCAATAGGATATATGGTGCCTCTTAGTCTACCAAAGACATACAAGCAATGCAACCAGGCAATGAAATTGGCAATACATTTCTATGACAATCATTTCACTAACCTAGTTTATTTAAGTTGATCTCATCTATGCGACATGCAAATGCCAAGATTTAATAAGAAAGCATTATAGATTAATAAAACCAGGAGTAGATAATAGGAAGTAGATTACCAGGAGTAGAAAACCAGGAGTAGATAACCCTATTATCTACTCCTGATAAAACATAGCGACATTGATCAGAGCTACTGAGGGTCACCTTCATAGAGTAAACTTGCATTGTAAGGCAACCTGGCACATTCATCACCCACACACATTGGTTGTACATGTGCCAATTTTGCTGCATTAAAAGAATACTGTCGATGACTAATATATAGTTGGATATATTTTGCATGAATACTTCTTACAATAAATACTCTTTTACATGGTGGAAACACACACACGCACGCACGCACGCACGCACGCACGCACGCACGCACGCACGCACGCACGCACGCACGCACG